TTTGAGGAGACTCCCTATTTCTGGATATTAGAATGGAAGGCCAGCTGTAGAGTTGCATTGCTCACATCCCCCTCCAAGAAGGGGCACATGGGCCAGGAGTGAGGGGTGTGTCTAGCTGACAGCCTCCACTGTTAACTCTTTCAGATTTCTCTCAACTCCTGAGCTCAGGTACTAATCTTCTTGGGGCGGGCCGAGCCCATGACTGAGCAGGACTGTGTGAGAAGGTCCTAACCATTTCTGCCCCACACAGGCCTCTGCTAAGGTGCTCCAGAGCTCCCCGCGGGGCTGACAGGCACTTTGTCAGATCTACACCTTGGCCACTCCCCTTCCCTAATCCTGCTTCCTCCTTTTCCCTTTCATAAGGGTTGCACCTCAATAAACCCTTTATGCTCCTCAATGTGTCTCAGCACCTGCTTTCCCCACGACCCAGCTGACACAGATGAGACGTGCTTCTGTTAGTTTTAAGCAACCTTTCGCGGGTGAAGGAAGGGGATATTTTAGAACTGGCTTTGAGCCAGTACCAGCAGGATGCAGAAGCATCCTGGGTGCTGGGGACCAAGCCCTACTTCCACTCTGGCACGTGAACCAAACAAGCTTTTGCTTCTTGCTATTCTCCTTGGCACTGACTGCCCCTTGCTGTTATATAACATGGCTTCAGTGCTGCCACTGGCTTTCTCAATTAGTGATATGTTGGTTGAATCCAGAGTGTGATTGAAAACAAGGTCACAAAATCCATTTCCAGCCAGGCAGTTTCAATCAGGTTGCCTGCTTATAAATGGGTCATATATCTGGTCATACATGGCCTCCATAAGCCCCTTACCCACACACTGAGTCATGACTTAGGACAGCCAGCTCTCAGCCACCTGGCAGACTGCCACCCTTCCTGCAGGCCACTTATAAAACACCTTATACTTGGTGTTGGGTGAGGAAATCTTAATGTGTTCAGTCAGTGACCAGGTGATTAACTTAAATCCATCAATAGAAGGGAATAGCTTTTGTTTTTTGATTTTGGAAG